CGGGGGCGTGGGGTGTCTCCTGGGGACACTGAGTGAGGGTCCCTATCAGGGCAGAATTGGGGAGGGTCCCTCTGGGGGCACTACTGGGGGACAGCCTGGGGCCCTGGGCTGGGGACACTGGGAGGAGGTTCCCCTCCTGAGGGGCTGCCAGGGGGGTGGGTGGTGGTGTTTCTCCACGGGAGGCACTGGGTATATCAGGGTTGGACAGGGATCCCCCCGACAGATAATGCTGTGGCTTGAGGGGCTGAGGTGTCCCCCCTACCCCAGCAGAACACCCCCCCGTACAACGTGGGTGCCTTCCGCTTCGAGCTGACCTTCTCCCCGCGGCACCCGCTGGAGCCACCCCGTGCCACCCTCCGCACCCCCATCTACCATCCCGGCGTGGACCCTGAGGGTCGCGTCTGCCAGCTCCTCACCACCCACGAGCACTGGGCACCCACCACCCGCGCCATCCAAGGTGGGCACCGAGGGGCCGGGGGGCGCAGCACTGGGGGTGCCCCCCTGACTTCCCCCCCCCGTTCCCGCAGTGCTGCAGGACCTGCTGCTGCTGCTGGACAGCCCCGACTCCCAGCGGGTGCTGCGGCCAGACCTGGCCCGGGAGCTGCAGGAGCACCCYGAGGAGTTCCGGCGCCGGGCACAGGAACACACCCGGCTCCACGCCGAGCTGCGCCCCGACCCCCCCGGCCCCTGAGCCCCCCACCCGGGGGCACCTCGGCTTCCCCTCTCCTTCCCTATGCCAGCCAGGGCTGGCCCTGGCATCACCCCTGCCTCGGCGCTGGACCTTGGGCATCGGGGTCCCCCCTGGCACCGTGAAGGGGGTCCTGGCCCCCCCACAACAGCTGGCCCCCCACAAGAGCTGCCCCCCTGTACATAAGGCAATAAATTTGCTCCAACACCCGCTCTGGCTCCGTGATACCTCACGGGGAGGGTGGGAGCCTCCGGGAGGTGCTGCCCCCCGTGTGCCAGCCCTGGGGGGAATGTCACCCTGCTGGTGGCAGAGCCAGGGCTGTGCCCCCACAGACACTCAGTGCCAGCGCCCCTGTGCCCACATCCCCCCTTCCAGATATGAGGCCACCACTGCCTGG